CCTTCTTCCAAGGGTGGAAGGCAAATGGCACAGGAAGAAAGACAAACCATTTAAACCAATCCAGGCACGGGGTCCAGTAAATGCTAGAAAATACTAACAGGAAAACCTCTGGTCCTTTCACCGTGTGAAAAGTCTACACGATACTGGTGCCCAAGTACGCCAGAGACAAATGACCAATGCTCCAGAGAAGGGAACATGCCAAAGGGCTCTTGGCAGAGTGGGCCCTGCCTTCCTGGGTAGAGGGAGGTGAACAGGAAAGAGTTGTCGCCTTCTCCTCCCAATCCCACTCATCCTCCATGGAAGCAGATGAAGTCAGGCTGTCAGCTTGGCAGCAGATGGGTGTAGTGAAGGGAACTTCCCTGCACAGGTTGAGCTACTCAGAGCAGACAGTGAGCAGACAGACTGTCTTCTGGAAGACTCTGTTGCTTGAGAAGACCAACACAGAGAAAAGGCACAACTGAAGGAGGCAAGCTGAGAGGGAAAGTTTACTGTGCCAACCTGGCCTATAAACACATGTGGGGTTAATTGAAAGGCAAAGAGATAAATGGCTCAGTGAACCTTGCCTTTCTAGGTCTCGGATCTCTTACATTCTGATGGTCAGACCAGGGTGCAGCTACCTTAGCTGGTTCCCTGCTTCAGCTGGCAAAGCTCACTTCCTGCAAGATATCCTTGAGGAGAAGCCACATGGACCTACCCTGATGCAGCCCCAGGTGCTGGAGCAGCTGTGTGGAGACCCCTGCCAGTGCTGAGATGCTTACACAATCACTGACTCAGCTTTCCTCCTGCGGTTGGCATCATTGCATGTCTTTTGTGAGATGGAGGAGGACTTTGTAGACTGGTGTCGGACATATGGGTTTCGGTAGTACTGAGTTGCAATGCTTTCTTAATGTACACTTACCCTTTATATAAAACTCTCTTATACATATGAGTTTCTGTGGATTTGTTTCCCTAGTTTACCCAGACTACCACATGTGCTTTCCCCAGGGGTCTTGGCCTCACTGGTGCTGACAATCAATCAATGGTAAGAGGAAGGAGGAGAGGCAGCCAATGACAATGTATGAAGATTGCATTGCTGTGTGGAAAACCAAGGGCCAACCAAATCCAACGTAGTTAAGCCAATTCCTTTCTGTGTTGAGGCACTTTAAATGCTTTGTCGAACCAGCAGTATTCAAACCAGTAGAGCGAGCACAGAAGGGGTGAATGCAGGAGACTAGCCGGATGGACCAGGAAGAGATCCACGAACCTTCTCTGGAGAAGGAAAAGGTTGAAGAGCTTAACGGCAATCACTTTGCTGACTCTAGGAAATGGGTGAGGCTTCTTCCCTGATGCCTCAAATGCAAGATCAATATATCTATTTACAGTTCCATCCTTATTTGAACATTGCATCTGCCAACTTAGTGTTTTCCACCAAGCTGGGGAGCAGAAGCTTTCACAGGTTTCACCATCTTCTCAGGCGCTGCCTGTGTGGCGGCCATTGCTGCCTTTTTAGGTGCTTGCTTAGCCTTTTCTTTGTTTTCTTCCCTGGAAGCCCTGAGAGGCTGTTCTCTTTTGGACCTTTCTAACTTCATGTTTCTGATTCTTCTTGGCTATTATGTCAGCAAGAGATGCACCAGTAATGGCCCTCTGGAATTTGACTGTACGGTGGATTCTTTTCTTCTGAATTTCTTTGAATTGCCCCCATTTGTGCTGCCTTCTCTAGAGGACAGTCCAGTGTTTCTGTCAAGGGTTCCTCTCGGAAAGGAGCTGACTTGTGTCTCACACCGCATTAATGAATGCAGAAACTGGAAAACCTTCCCATCGGCCTGGTGGAGTGTCTCCTGTTTCCAGGGTAAATCTTGCATCGGCTGAAATGGCACAGCCTGATCGTCATGGCTGTGGCAGGAGAAGACCAGGAAAGACAGCGAAGAGGTATCAACTCTACCTTGGAACCAAATAGTACTGATGACTTTCCTAGCTCAGAGGCAGCATTCAGCGAGCACTGAAATTGACACAAGCAAGCCACGACCAAATATCTCCAGGGAGTGATGGATCACAATAATGTACACTGTCCCTGACTGAAGTACAGGAACAAACACCATGCAGGACCAAAAGCCCAATCCCTCTCTTGCTTCTCTGCTCTAAACTCTGGGCTTTCCTCTGAGCCGGGGCACTGCTTGCCCTTCCTCCATGGTGCTCCTCCTCCGGTGGCTGTATTCAAGCATCCAGAATCAAGATGGCACCGGTATCCCAGGTGGAACTTGAATCCGCTGATGAGGTGCAGGAGAAAGGTTTTGATGCCGTCAGCCATCTCTTTACAACAAAGCTATCAACTCTATGGAGGAGGAAACAGAAGTACCTGACAAACCTCTCATTACGAAGAGCCCGGCAGCTCCCGGACAACTCCTGGGGCTCTGGTTCTGGTCCTGGTCGCGCCTCAGCCCTCCCCACCACAGGCCCACTGTGATCTTGTTAAAGTGTCCATGCTGATTCAGTATACCTGGAGTTGAAAAGGCAAATTCTCGGCAAGGAGTCTAACTGAAGCAAACCAGTTGGATGATTTGTTAGGAGGTACTATTTGAAATTCCTACCATTTGGGAAAAATAGTTCCTGGCATTTCATTGATATAGGAGAATCTTGAGAAAATGTCTAGGGCAGTTCTGACCTGCCCTATAGGTTCTCTGTGAGTCAGAAACTGACATGATGGCAGTGAGTTTTGTTTTGTTTTGGGGGCGGGGTAGCAGGGGCAGGGAGGTTGGGGAGAAATGAGACACTAATAACAATGAGTACAAGAAGGAAAAAAATGTTCTAAAATTGATTGTGGTGATGACCGTATAACTTTTCTTAATGGGATTGAACGATTAGATTGAACAAATGTGAATTACATGCTAATAAAATGTTAAATTAAAAAAAAGTATTTTCTATAAAATTAACTGGGGGTGGAAGACAGGGCTCTGTAGACCCAATTTAATAAGCATTATATTGCATTTCAAGAAACACACTTTAACCTATGTTAAAGGGTTCTTAACCAAGATGGTGCTACCTGGGGAGAGGTTGTTTTTGGAAATAAGGATGTTTGCCTATTGATCACTCCCATAAGCACCAGGAGAGGTGATTTGTGGTTTGTTTTGTTTTTCCTGGTATGTGGGGATGCAGGTCCCTGTGACAGGGATACTAAATCTTCAGCAATGCTACCTGTAGTTCTCTACAGCAAAGAAGCATACCTTCCAAAGGTCAATTACTCCTCACTATCTCCCCGCCCCCAATATCCCCCTAAACACTGCCATCGGGTCAGTTCCAAAGCACAGAAACCCCATCCGACCAAGGTGAACTGTTCTCTGGGGTTCCTGAGGCTGTACATCTCTATCGGAGGAGACAGCCTCGTCTTTCTCCTGACCAATGACTGACAGTCTCCATTCATAAACACTGGTCATGAAGATCTTTAACATGTTGACCGAGTGGAAACCTTCAAAAGGCATCACCAATACCTACAACGTGTGGGTGGCACGGCCTTACCTGGTATAATAAGTGAAGCCCCATGCCCAACGCCAAGAGAGCAGCAGGCGAGGCGGGCCTGGGGCGTGCCCTCACCTTGAGATGGTAGATGTGCTCCTCAGTATCGAGGTCGATGCACTTGGACGACTTCTTCACAGACATGACGGAGAGCCCAACGTCGATGCAACCATGCAGCTTCTCCCGCTCGACCTGCAGAGGCATCAAGAGGGCTGCTTGAGTTCAACAGAGGAACGGCCTTCAAAGTCCTTTCCTCTGCCCTTACTTGCCACCGCCACTGTCAGTACAGATCGTAGCGGTGATGCATCATGTATGGTGAGAACCAGTATTAGGTTTGATGGTCTACACGCATTATCTTACGTCGCCTGCGAGGAAGCAAGCTTTAGCCACAGTTTGCAGACGAGAAGGATGCAGTACAAAGAAAGCCAAGGAACAGGAGTTGACACGCTGTGAATGTGAACCCAAGCAGTACGGCTCCAATTGTGGGGAATGAACTTCTCAACCACACGGCCTCCCGTGGAGCTTGTTTCTAGTGTCTAAATTCATGCCCCACGCTTAAAAAGGAGAGCGTGGACGTGATGCTCAGAGGGGCTAGAGTGGAGTGTGGGTGTGAGAAAGGCTGAAGATCCAGCCTTCAGGAGAGGAGAAGTCCACACCACCTTTGCCCAGGGCCTTCTCCACAAGCCTCCTCAGTCACTGTACCAGTGGCCCTGACCACCTGAGACACATTTACTTGCCCAGAGGAGTCCTCAGCATAACTCTACCCAGAAAGGACCACAGGATGCCCAATGGGGTCTTAGAAATCCCCACACCTCCACCTGGTGGCTAACCTGAGCTCATCTAGCACCCAAGGCCGCGAAAATAGGGAGTGGGCACAGCTGTTCCATAGAAAGACATGATCAGAAGTGTGACCCCCAAGTGTACATAATGACATCACTGGCCTGACAGCTATTCTCCCTTACTTGGTCCTCAGGAGCATACTGGATAAATAAGAAGACTTACATCGGTTTGACTCTTGGCATATTTCAAGATCCCTTTGTCCAGATAGAAGAATCTCTGTGAGGAAAAAAAATGCAACCCATTAAGATGTCCCACTGAGTAAGATATGACAAAATAGTATTTTATACATTATCAAGGGTTCATGAGGGAGGGGGCAAAATGAGGAGCTGATGCCAAGGGCTTAAGTGGAGAGCAAATGTTTTGAGAATGATGAGGGCAA